CAGCATTTCTCAAAAACATCTGCTTCCAGCGCTGGGAATTGCCCAATAGTTGCATACAATCTGGATGCTTACCAAATCTCAGAAAGCTTAACTCATCTTTTATTTAAATATATGTTAAGTATTGGGTTTGGGGGGAAATGCTGGAAGAGGAAGTGAATCTTATTAGTGTATTTAAATATTTTAAATGTTAACATTTCAAAAGTCCTTAAGTTAGAAAGTTATTAAAAATAACTGTAAATCACAATGCTTAAATCATGATACTTCATACCACCATAAATATGAAACACTGTATATAGCTAAAGGAGGTATGATTATAAAATAACAAAACAGAAGAACAGGAGAGATATTGCTTGAACACAAACAATCACACATAGACAGCATCTGTGGGCGCTCGGCAAGGGGTGCTCAGATGTTCTCAACAGCTTTACATGTCAGTAACTAACTGCATCACAAACTCACAAATTATACCTCTGCTGGTCTTCAAAATGATGTCAGCAAACCTGCTCCAGCAGGTATCCCACATATGCCAGGAAGGGCTCCCCTCTTCCATCCTCCCACACATGTAAATAAGACCAAGCATTTAGGGAAGTGTAGGAAGACAGCAGAGCATGAATGATTAAGGCAAAATTAGTCACTGAGCTGGGGTGTGTGAGAAAAGTGAGAACATCAAAAAGCCAAACAATACAGTCTCAAAAAAACAAAGCCAAAAACAAACAAACAAACAACCCCCCCAAAACCGAGGAAATTCAATACTCATTTTAAAAAATGTGCATAGTTTCTATCATGAAGCGATGTCCAACCCTTAAGGGGAAGTGTTGAGGCAGAGAAGGAAGTTATGGGGGAAGGTCCTTGAGACCGGATCTTTGTGTTCTGTCCAACCCTGTGATGTAATGGCCTTGGGGCTTGTCTTTTGTTTCCCGTGTCGTGGTAAAATATCCTGACAAAAGCAACTTAAGGCAGAAAGTTTTGTTTTAGCCCATAGTTCCAGGTTATTATTCATCCACAACAGCAAGAGCTTAAGGGTTCTGGTCACATTATGTCCAGAGTTAGGCAAAAAGAGCAATGAATGCATGCGGAGTGATGCTCAGCTGGCTTTCTTGCCTCAGCCCAGGATTCTCTGCCTAGAGAATGGTGCCCTACTCCATAGCAGGTGGGTCTTCCCACCTGTAATCCTGATACTCACCTCCAGGCATGCCCAAAGGCACTTCTCACAGGAGTGTAGGCTTTTCACATTGACAGCACTGTCGATCGAAGGACAGAAACCACACAGTAGGGTTCACACCCCAGCTCGGTGACTTAGTGTCAGGGTACATCAAGAATGTTGTTGATATATCTGTGTCTCAGTTCCCTCAGCTCTAAGTGTACCACCTGTAGCATCTACTCCAGAAACTTTAGGGTCTCCTAGAAATGCTACTGGAAAAGGCTTGGGAGTCACTAAATTTGATAAAAATCTATCATTTTATAGTTATATTTTATACTTGAATATAAATTTAACTTAAGTGGATTACTTAGGAATCTTTTTAATCCCCAAATCATACATAGAAGTTTCCAGTAAATATGAATTCTAAGAACAGGCACTTCTGTATTAAATAGAGAAACCAGGAGGAGATGAAAGGTTTACTTTAAGCTCATGGTTTCAAGGCTATCGGTCTGTAGTCCTCTGTGATGAGGCAGATGATGGGATCGTACAGGGGGAGCCACTCACCCCAGGGCAAAGAGGTGAATAGGCTCAAATCAATGGCAAATATGAGCAGTTTTTATTTCCTTACACGACATACCATGTTGTTCTTATGCTATCAATGCCTCATTCTCCATGCACGTATTTTTAATAGCCTGTAAATCAAGTTATCACTTGGCCTTGAGCTTCTTGGGCCCATTATATAGTACTTTGAGAGTATTTTCCTTCATTTATATGCAATGATGATGAGCAGGGCTTTTAGCTTCTGAATCTATAGATTATATGACCATCTTCTATATAAAGACACCATTAAGTACTGAACCTCATCTGGTCAAGGTAGACAGGGAAACATCAAAGTCACTGAGAGCTGGCAGCTCTCTAGCCTTGCAAGGTATGTGTTTCCCCTCTCAGAACTTGGTTTTCTGTTTTGAAACAAGAGAAGTTCTATATATTGTTCCTAGAAATTTGGAGCCCAAACGGAACCATGCTGATTTTCATATAGACCTCCCCTCTGCTCTGTTGATGGACCCATCACAGCTCTCAGTCCTGAAGCTCTGCTCACACTCTTCTCTATTTCACCTCTGTCTTTGAATATTAAACTTGTGCCAGTCAACAAAACTTAGGTATCCTATTCTGAGGACGTGATGGCCTGAGGACCTTTAAAGCCTATGAAACTCTTCCTGATTGCTAGCCTGGTGAAAAAAAGGTCCAGGTCTGCAAGGCATATAAGGTGTGCCTGTGAGAGTGTTTCCAGAAATGATTTGATCATAATGGCTCTGACCTAATAGATAATATAATCCTTTGAATTCAAATTTCGAATAGATTATTGAGAGGCAGGGAAACACTGCCAAGAGAAAATGGGTCACTGCCGGTGCATGCGTGGAGCTCTATTGGCTTGGCCTCTTCCGACCACTACTATGCTGCGCTCTTTTCCCTGGGCTGAGTAGTCCCACTATATAACCCAACCATCATTGACCCTGCCTTATCATGGAGGACTATAGACTGGTCGCCATAAATCCATGAGCTAATGTAAACCTTTCATGTCATCCTTTCAAGTCATTTTCAAGTCAGTCATTTTGCCACAGCAACAAGAATGGTTCATAGTGGAAGAGGTACCAGCCACCAGGACAACCAGAAAGAACGAGGCCGCAGGGTCCACTGCAGCTGTTGAAGGGTTAGAGGTGGAGACAGCTTGAGTCCTCAAAGCTCTTCTCTTGTAACAGTGCAGGGGCAACTGGCGAGTTAGGAAAGTCATCACCGCCATACAAGGTTGGACTGTGACCAATTTTATTTTCAACAACATTGTTGGGTACTTTATGGCAATGCAGAGTTCATTCAACACTTGATTTTAGATATTAAAAACAAACTCCCAAGCAATACTTTTATACAGAACATCAGAACATCTACCCAATAACAGTCATATTGAGAGATGATATACTGTAGCCACAAGGCAAGAACAATGAAGCTTATCTCACTGCTCAGGGTTTGCTTTTTTTTTTTTTTAAGATACCGGTTACATGTTGAGCAAACACCTCTTCAGCTAAAGCAATGAACACAAACTTTGGAAACATTCAATTCTGAGTCCCTCATGTGGGCTTTACATCAAAAGGTTTCATATATTTGTTACTGTTTTAGGCACAGCTAAGTAATAACTAATTTTAAAAATTTAGTTTTGGTATATGATTATTAAGGAGTTCTCAACATTACCTATGAAAGCTACTCTATGTAAAACATCATGACTTAACACAGACCGTGCCTCTAATATGCACAATGTAGTTGATTTGTTCTGTCCTAAACATCATGCAATCAAGTGGGATGATGGATGGTCTTCAACAAGGCTCATCTAAGGACTGGTACAGAAGTTAAAAAGGACGTACAGCTTTGACACATCAAGGAGGTAATCGTTTGTGACTATACCGTCTAGATAAAAGACTGCATATCTTCAATTACTTCATTTAACTAAAATGTGGCTTGGAAAACACAGACTGCTACATTATAAAGCATTCTGTTAGCATTGCTGTTCGGTACCTTGTTTTATTTTTGGTATAACTGCATATTGCATTCAGAGTTACAAATTTCCCACAGTGCTTTCTGCCTCATTCAAGTATAATAAAAGTAGAAATCTATAGACGCTCTAAGCCTAAACAAACTGTACATCATACAAAAAAAATTAATTTATAGTGAAAAAGTATTGGCAATGCCCTTTATAAGCCTCAACAAAGACTCATCACAAAGGATGTCAGAATCTACAAATGTGGTTATCACATAAATATACCATTTAGATTCATGTGGTACGAAACAAAGTAGCTGTTAAATGTATACACATAGAACCAGCACTTTATACCACAAACATTTCTGTTAAAGTAACAGTATTGTCAATACTAATAAAGGTACATGATTTTCTTATTGCATATTCATTGTGGCCGAGGCAGTTAGTTAGGATACAATAATGCAATCTCCACAATTATTTTAAATAATAAAAACACTTCTGCTAACAATTACATAGAACATTCCTACCTACAGTTTTAGGCAAATACTGAAAGACATGACCTTAAGGCATCTGCCAGAAAAGCAGACGTGAATATTTATAAACTAAATGATGCAAGAAAAATATTGCACAAAATCCTATATTTTAAAATAAAATGTTTCTGTCTCACTACACATAATTCCCTATTTCACAATCAAATCATACCATCAAATGGCTGTTGCAAAGCCTTTCTCGTCCTTGAAGCCTTAAGACACAGACAGTAATAGGTCTCTGGGCTTGACAGGAAAATTCTCACAGAGAACTGGGTTTCTAAATACCACAACCTACATTAAGAGAAACTTGGGGAGACACTATTAGAGGGTTCATTTTACATTCCTGATTTTCAAATATCTTCTCAGATTCAAGAATCACTGACACCAAACAGTGGAGTTCTCGGGAGAAAATTTACTCATAAAAGTAAAACGTAAAAGATGGACTTGCCCTGAAAATCTGAGTAGAGGATAAATGGCTGTTGACGCTAAGGATGCCATCTACTGTTGGCCAGGGGTCTTTACTTTGTTTAACCAGCACCTGCTTCATGGTCATTCCTGGGTCATATCACTGGAGAGCAGCATAGGCTCCCAATAACAACACTTACAGCTTTAACCAAAAAGAAAAAAAAAAAAAAGGCTGTATCTACAAAATGCTGTCACCAAGATTTCTTTCTTTAATGTAAAATTTGGACTCCCATCCAAATAGGTCCCTGACTATATATACCCGAACTTATTCCTGAACTAGGGTAAGTGGCCATCCATACCACAAAGGGATGTCATGCTGTGTTGTAGATGGTCAAAGCAAGGACTCAGCCAAGCAGTGTCTCCAAATCTGTCCTTTGAAAGGGGATTTTAGCAGCATTCTAGTAACTCACATAATTACTAAAAAAGTTAACAATTCTGTACTTAGAATATACTTCAAATAAAGCAGCTCTTTTTAAAAAGCATCTCTTGGTATTGATTCTTGAGCTAGTACCATCTAAGCAAGTACATCCTTACAGTATTTTATTATTAATAACAATTATTACTTTAACACCTGCAATTCATTTCCCTTTTAATTGTTCCCCAGAGCTGGGTAATTGTTTCCCCCATACCCTTACACCCTTAGTTATTACACCTTGCTCCTGATGGGTAAAAAAAGTCAATAAACATTGTCTCAATGAAGGAGTCATTAATTCTGATTGGAAAAGTAACCATTCTATAATCTGATAGGCTAAATAAGTAAATCACCAATATATGCCACTTAGCAACATCATTAACAAAATTGCAGCTCTGACATTTGTCCCTCTATCTTTAGCGCCCTGAACCACATGGATGCAAAACCTGAGTGAGACTAGAGACAATCTCGCTCAGGCGTGGGTTAGCGGCATAGAAAACACAAGACACTGAAGCCAGAGCTGTGAGTTATTCAAGTCTCATAGACAAGAAGCAGCTTCTTTAAAATATTTATTTGGATCTCCAGTTTGTTGGTGCTCGGCATTTAAAATGACAATGCCAGCAGAAAAGTTTATTTTGAATAGCAGGGAACTAATAAATATTTGGTTTGGTTTGGGTAAAGCAAAAAAACAAAAACAAAAACAAAAAAAAACTCCTTTTGTTTATTTCAGAACTCATCCTATCATCTTCCTTTCTACTCTTTCCATCAGAATACTGGGAAGCCACATTTAAAAGCCAACTTCAAACATTCAAGGTTTTAATGGCGTAAAGCCCCACCACTTGCTTCCAGTTCTCTGGACATTTTTCAAGAATAATGTATTCAACTTTGTTTTTTCTTTTTAACATAGAGTGGCTGTTTTTGCTTGTTAAAGTAAGGCACAGAGCACGTAAGTGGCTTAAGACATTATTTGTGAGTGGATAAATGTTTTCACTTAGTCCAGTGTTACAGTGGAGCATGTCACAAGTTGACTAAAATAGACAACTGTGAATCTGTGGCCATGGGTTTATCAGGAAGCAGACTGGAAGCCAGTGTTCTATGCTGCATTCAGGATGCTCTCATTCTTTTAATTCTTTAGACAATGAATTCTGAAGTGAAAGCAGAAACCTCACTTGAGAATTCGCATTAGAGGCTCTACATTCTGTCCAGGAATCATGTGGGAATGCTTGCTCAGCAGTGTAACCACCACACTGACTTTTCCTCGTCCCACTAAAATCAGCTCTTCTGATACATGGCTTTCCTGTTTTTATTTCAGTAAACTGAGATTGATGAAGGACACACAGACAGGTAAAATCTCATAACCTTCAATATTATTATTGTGTAAAAATAAGGATTAAATATACCTTTCTATAAAGAGCTCATTCTCCTAAGGACAAGCTCTGTCTTCCAATACAAATAAGGGAATAATTACCTCAAGTTAAACTACCTATTTATATTTTGGAGTGCAGTTTTAAAAAAATGAACTGCATAAATATTTTGAGCACTATGCTAAACAAATCTCCTAAAATTCTAGGTAAAATTATATGGCCTTATTGGGGTTCTTAAATGGTTTTACAAACATTTTGTTGTTGTTGTTTAAAAAAGCCAATTTTTGAAGAGCAGTTATAATGTCTGGGGATGTATAGAACAGAGACACAGAGAGTACAAATAAACTATCTTCATAACTCCAGTCTGAGATGAGTGATGTGCACCTCTTTTCAGATGTGTTCTAGAGCTAAACAGTGACTGTGAGGGAGGCAGGCACCATAAATAATTACAAAGGATTTATTCTGATACTCCTCTGCCCTAAATAATTTTATTGTGCCTGCCTTCCTTGCTTCCCTTCTCTACCCCGCCCTTCCTCCTGCCTGCAATGGAACAGAATGTGTTGGGGAAACAAGTTTATAGTGGAGAAAACCAGTAGGTGTTCAAAATCAACACAACATGGAGCATGCCCATAGCACACCCTTAAGACACTGAAAATGGCATTCTACCTCTGTGATCTTCTCCCTCAAACCTATAACCCCGTGTAATAATGAGGAAAGTGCCAGGCAAATTCTAGGAGCTGGCTACTCAACATCTGATCAATATTCCTAAAAACTTCAAAGTTATCAAATCCAAGAAAATGAAGTGGAACGTCAGCAGACATGACAACAGAATGTAATCTAGAACCCTGAGGGGATAATGGGACAGAAAGGGGCATCAGGGCAAGGCCGGAGCTCTGAATACCATGCAGGGTATCAACACTGTGGCAAATGCAGCATACTAACATAAAGTACTAACAGTAGCAGAAGCCAGGGCCAGGGACGATGGAACTCAGTACCACCTTTGCATTTTCTATAAATCTAGAGCATTTAAAACACAAAGATGATTATTTTAAAAAGCAAATACAAGGTAAGGCTATCAGCATCTTTACAGCAAATCCAATATGAGAACAGGACAACTGCCTATCTGGCCTCTGCAGGGCATTCGGCTTCCTTGAAGTGGGCCACAGCCACATGCATGCAGAGACCAAACATTGTCTGACTGGCTTTTTTGTTAAGTAGAAGCTTTTTAACTTCACATTGTAACCCAGCACTTCATGTATTTCACTGAGAGAAAGGTAAATATACACATTTACATTGCTTGGGAAATATGGCTGTATATCTTTATAAAAAGCAAATTAGTTCCACTAGCGCACTTTTAAACTTGAAAAAATGGTGAGCTTAATTCATGATAGATAAAGGCATTATTGCTCTGCAGGACAAGACAACTCCTCTCTCAAGCTTCATGAGTAGCATTACACATTGTCTGTATGCTTAACATAACTGGAAGATTAAGGCAATTAGTGGGTTAACAGTTTCATCTGTTTCAGGCTATTTTTGATCAGTTTTTGACATCTTGATCAGTTCATGCTCAACCTGATTAGTACAGCAACTATTGGTTATAGGTAGGGGTTACATATGCACACTTAGTTTAAATAAAATGAATGGCATTAAGCACCAAATACTGGGGAAGCTTATGTTCAAAATACACTTTCTGCCTATATACAGATTAGTACCTGATTTAACAGTAGATTCATTTTACGCTGGAAAGCCAGTGGATACTACAGATCCATGAGATGGACAGAGAGGGAAACGTTCCAAAGGAAACAATTAAATAGTAGCAAGAGCTGTCATTCCTATCGGTGATTCCGTTTACTGTACACATCACAGAGGATAACTCCACATGTCTCTGGAGAAGCCAAGAGGTAAGTGACTGACCCTTTACTGGTACCTTAAGTTTGGTTTTCACTTCTGCTTTCTTCTGAAATGGTTAAACCTTGCTGGAAATCACATGACATGTGACACAATGACACTACTTCTTGGAGGAGTCCAACATCTTCTGAAGGCTCCTTCTCTTCTTTCTGGGCTTTCTCCCAGGGAACAAAAGTAGACTGGCGGCTGCCAGGGTCAGGTACCCGCAGATCCTCTGAAGAAGCCTGATTTAGTGTTGCCTTCCCTTCATGTTTTCCTGGATCCCCTTGGGAAGCTTCAGGGGAAGCTGGCTGGAAACTCAATCTTGAAGTAGAAGCGGGCTTTCCCACCACAGTGGGGCCACTCATACTGTCAGCACAGAAGGGCTTGTCACTATTCTCCTCTCTCAGGATAAACAGAGAATCTGTCAATCCACTGGAGGAACCGCGCTTCCTGGGGGATGGAGGGAGGTGCTTGCCATGGAGGGCGCTGTCATCCTGCCCCAGATTCCACTCTCCCTGGTCACCAGACACACACAGCACAGCCAGGTTGTTCTCGCTGGGAGCGTTGGACTTGTTCTGCGAAGGGAAGTAACAACTTCAAAATGCTTGCGATGCACTTACAGTGGCTCGTGAGTAACCTGATTCTGCTCTGAAAGCAAGGTTTCTGTCTCAGCAGGAACTGGGTGAGCACTGACTGGGCTGGCAATTCCAGGCAGCTCCAAGAATAAGAAAGGAGAGGTGGCGGGTGGGGGCTCTGATTTTCCATGTGTTTGGATGTCACCTGTCACACTGAAATGCTACACAGAATTCACTCAAAACTTTAGGTTCTCTGCAGTCAGAATGGGGTCCCAACTGCATCCAATTCCACCTCATGTATTTTTTTTTTTTTTACTGTTAAAGTACCTAATTGAATACATTTAAGACTGTTTACTTTTAAAGCAAATAAAGAAAAAAAGAAAACAAGATCTTAGCAGACAATTCATTACAATTTTTTTTTTAAGTTCAGGAATTCTTGTCAAAAGTAGGAGAATCACATAAAGAACTATTCACAAGGCCGAGTACTAACTTAGTTGTCAATATGGCTAGAGGAGGACATAAGCTGGCAGCAATCACTGGAACAGTGGGTGAATTCAGGGCCCTGAATACTGTGGCAATTTCAGTAGCAGAAATAACTCATATGGATTATTTTATTAATCATAGTTTGAAATTTTTGTACACCTAGAGGTAAAATGCTTCTGTAAGCTAAGTTTATCTGATCTGGTGACCACAGCAAGGGCAACAGTGTTTTCATTTAACTCTGTAAGTTGAACTCAACTAACCGTTGGTTTGTAATCAATGTCATCCATGGATCTGAAGAAGTCCAGGCTTTTTGCAGCTGCCAGCTTTCCTTGGTCGGAGCTGTGCGTGCTCAGCGTGTCCAGGATCTCACCCAGCAAGTCCATCTCACCTGAGTAAGGAGCCTTCACCCTTGCCTCACCAGAGTCGTCACTTTCGTAGAAATAAGCAGGTGTTTCTTCACTGTCTTCGGAAGAAACCCTGCAAGAAGGCACAGCGCAGTAGTCAGCATTTATGCACAGGCTGGGTCTGAACAACTCACTGACATCAGTCAATGTTTCAGCAGAACCACAAGTCAGAACTGAAGGTGAGGGTGGAGGGAGCCTCTAATCCTAGTACTCTGGAGGCTGAGGCAGAGGATTGCAGGTGTGAGGCTAGTCTAGGCTACAGAAAGAAAACAAGAAAAGAATGGGGTAGGAGAAAAGGAAAAGGAGTAAGGAGCAAAGGGGAAAGTAGAGGGAAGAAAAAAGGAAAGGAAAGGGAAAGGGAAAGGGAAGAAAAAAGAAAAGGAAAGGAAAAGGGAGAAAGGGAAAGGGAAAGGGAAGAAAAAAGAAAAGGAAAGGGAAAGGGAAGGGAAGGGAAGGGAAGGAAAAGAAAGGAAAGGAAAGGAAAGGAAAGAAGGAAAGGAAAAAGGAAAGGAAAGGATAGGAAAGGAAAAAGGAAAAAGGAAAGGAGAGAGGAACAGTGGACAAGGAGGAAAAGAAGATAAAAAGAGTAAAGAAAGAAAAGAAAAGCAGGAAGAGAGGTTTAAGGGGCAGGGAGGAACAAAGAACAGAAATAAAACTGAGTCTGTCAGTCTCTACAGTTATGTGTGTATGTAACAATTCCGCTTAAACACATGCCTCATTAATCCCAAGCTGGACTTTCCATCAGTTCATTCTATAGGATTTGAGAATTTCCTAGAAATATTAAACACTTACAAAGTTTGAAACATTCCAAGTTTTACTTTTCATATTGTATATGGTTTTCCTTTTCTTATTTGTTTTAGAGAAGGATAAATATTCTCTTGTGTATATAGATTTATTTCATATGCAGAATGTCCATTTTATTACTATGTACCTTAAAATTGCTAAAACTGAAGTTCACATAATTGTCTGTACTTTGTATTAAGTAACACAGTTCCACATTTCCCTCACATGAGGGTTCGCTCTCTTTAAGCTCAGTTTGCTTCAAAATGAGTGTTATAACTGTCCCTACTTCACCTGTTCCTTTCAGTGTGGGGTAAGATCATCACCAAATGCTCGTCTGTGTCACACTTTGGACACCTCTAGATGACTCCACTTCCCAAGAACAGACATTTCAAGTCTGTCTTGCCTCGCAGCATTGCAAAAAGCACCATTTCTATTCATTGATGAACACTGTGAGCACGCAAAACCCAAAATTTAGTAGTGTCTAAACTCCTGCGCCACTGGACAGGGCCCTGCAGTGCCGCCTGCCAGGGAGCCGTGGCATAATCAGGCATCACAGTGCTGGACTCACCTGCTTGCTCGCTCAATGTCGTCATCATACAGGGCACCATCTAGGCTCTTATGAGGCCGTTTCAAGTGTTCCTGCAGAGAGAAATCGACAATAAATTGAGCTACTGAGTTGAAATATGTATTTCATAATTCTAAAGAAAATGATTTCTGTAAGAAATACTTATAAAAGAAATACACTTTTAAAACTTTTTAATGTCATCCTCTAACCTGACAAATTAGAACAAGAAGAAACAGAAGCAAAGCAGCATTAAATTTTTTTTCAACACTTCTTAGCTCCTCACTTAATAAATAGAAATAGACACACATGTGGATAGTCACACCATACATGAACAATGCAACTATCCAGTAATTTTAAGAGTTGCCAGTTTTATGGGCAACCTTTGGGCAGAGTGCAGGGAATCTTAGGAAAGAAGTGGGAAACAGTAAGATCTGGAGAGGACAGGAACTCCACAAGGAGAGCAACAGAACCAAAAAATCTGAGCACAAAGGTCTTTCCTGAGACTGCTATTCCAACCAAGGACTATGCATGGAGATAACCTAAGACCCCTGCACAGATGTAGCCCATGGCAGTTCAGTATCCAAGTGGGTTCCATTGTAATAGGAACAGGGACTGTCTCTGACATGAACTGATTGGCCTGCTCTTTAATTACCTCCCCCTGAGGGGGAAGCAGCATTACCAGGCCACAGAAGAAGACAGTGCAGCCACTCCTGATGAGATCTAATTGACTAGGATCAGAAGGAAGGAAAAGAAGTCCTTCCCTATCAGTGGACTTGGGGAGGGGCATGCATGCAGAGGGTGGAGGAAGGGAGGGATTGGGATGGGAGGAGAAAGAGAACCACAGGGGGGATACAAAGTGAAGAAAGTGTAATTAATGAAGAAAAAAAAAAGAGTTGCCAGTTTTATTACAATATCACATCCCCCAGGAGTCCTAAGTGTTTTTGAGAGACCTTTCAATTTTTTTTTTTTTTTTTTTAATGCTGCAAACATCAGCTCTAGTTTTGTAGTGGTATCGGAATGTTGAAGCCCAAATTCCGGCATCTGTAACATGTGGTTAGATGCTGTCAGTGCTGGAGCTGAGGAAACGAGCTGTCTTGCCAGCCCTAGGTATGTATTTTTAACAAATACTTTTTTTAAAGATTTATTTTATCTTATGTGTATGAGTGTATGCGTGTGTGTATGTGTGTGTGTGTATGTATGTATGTATGTATGTATGTATGTATGTATGTATGTATGTATGTGTGTATGTGTGTATGTATGTATGTATGCTTGTGTACCACTTGTGCCTGATGCCTGCAGAGGGCAGAGGAGGGGCCAGATCCCTGGAGCTGGAGTTACAGACTGTTGTGAGCCTCCATTAAGTTTCGGGAACCCTGACCCAGGTCCTCCATGAAGTGCTTTTACCTGCTGAACCACATTTCCAGCTCCAAGATTTCTTTTTAATACAACCTAAAAATTGCAATATGTCCAAACTGACAATTATCCTTAATCTTTGCCATCATGCAGATGATATCCACAGCCCCCTATTTTATTTCATGGATCAGAATTACAAAAGTCAGTACTGGTTGCTGCTGTCCTATCTTCTGGAGGGCTCTCCGTTTCCCTCACCTTCTTTTGTACCAGGTGTCACAACATGCTACTCCATCCTCACTTCCTGAAAACCGTCAGCTCATGTGGTGGCTTACATTCTGGCAAGCTGACTGGTGCTTGCTTTAGGCAAGCATAAGCCATGGTAGTGATGTGCATTTTTATGGTGCATTAGTAGGCATGTAATGTTCAATTGTGCTAACACTAAGCATGGCTTTGGGTGTGGCTAGCCTGGTCACTGTTTCAAATTACCTTCTCAATGTTTTACTTCATAGTTCCATTCACCTATCATAACCACTGGCAGGTCCATTTTTCGTTAAGGGTTGTATAACTATTATTTTATAGAGGATTTTTGTTAGCATTTCATAAAGAATTTTACTATTTAGCAATTTTCACCAAAATACAATGTAGACTGAAAAAAAGCAGAGAAGTTGCTGATTGGCTCTTTTATCTCCAAGAGTAATCAGCCAGTGCCCCACTGGTCTCTAACGTGATAACAATGTGAGGCTATTTTTAATATTGTTGCGGCTTGTGTGAATTTGGTACATTTCAACTCAACATGGTTATTATTGGTGTTCAAAATACCCTGTCTTTGAATTTTGACTTAAAAAATTCTTATCTTCAAAATACACATCTTAAGATAGTCACAGGCTAAAAGATACACTGTTAGGTTTCCCCTTGAAAATAATCCAGTACAGGTGACTGGCCTTGAGCTCATCTCTGCTGAAGATAGATCAAGACTCTTGAGGTTTCTACATGTTCTTTTCATTATTATACACGTTGAATGTTTCAGAATCACACTGTGCACTTTTTAAACCATCTGCCTTTCAACCCTTTGAAGCTGTTCCATGTCTTCTCTGACATGACCTCAGAAAAGAAGTTTGGCTTTTCCAAGTGGACAACAGCATTCAGAGGTTGAATCCTGGTGTCTCAATGCTCAAAACTGTGCATCATTCTTCTGGGCAGTGAACAGAAACCTTGAATTTGGAAGCCTCTGCCACATCCCCTAAAGGAGGAACTTCCTGTCTTCCTTTTAATCCCCATCCCACAGCTGTCTCCATTTGTTGCACTACAGAGTAAGTCAGTCTCTGGGACCTCTAGAGCTGACTCCACCTGCTCACTCCTTGGTGTCAGTGCTCCTAAGAGTTAGCATTGAGGGACACATACACGGAATAAGCACCTGTGACCTGTGACTAAAATGTGACAAGTTCCCCATGAGTCTGATGACTAGAAAGCACTGAGGTCCTAAACCCATGTCAGTTCACCACATACCCTGAAGCATCTTCAGCTGGACAAAGTTCTCAGAATAATCTAGGAACAAAACCATCACTCACAACATTAGCATTCCTCTGTGATTCTGCTTCAAGCTCTTGACTGAGCTCATGCCTCAGCTTCCCCCATGGTGGACTGTTACCTGTAAGTGGAAACAAACTCTCTGCTCCTAAAGTTGCTTTTGGTTTATCTCAACAACTGAAATCAAACTAGAATGCTTAATTAGCTAAATAAAATTTGTTGTGATCTCACTGTTTAATACAGGCTTATTCTTTGGAGCATGCATTTGATGTTTCTTCAACAAATGAACACTTGCGTATATAGCAGGTAGGTTCTTGTCTTGCTCAGGGTTTCTATTGCTGTGATGAAACATCATGATCAAAGCAACTAGAGGAGGAAAGGGTTTATTTGGCTCATACTTCCAGATCCCTGTTCATCATTAACAAAGCCAGGACAGGAACTAAAACAGGGCAGTAACCTGGATGCTGGAGTTGATACAGAAACCACAGAGGAGTGCTGCTTACTGATTTGCTCCCCATGGCTTGCTCAGCCTGCTTTCTTATAGAACCCAGGACCACCAACCCAGGTATGACTCCACCCACAATGGGCTGGGTCCTCCCCCACCAATCATTAATTAAGAAAATGCCTTAAAGGCTTGCCTACAGCCAGATCTTATGGAGTCATTTTCTTACTTGAGGTTCTTTCCTACCAGATGAGTTTAGTTTGTGTCATGCTGACATGACAGCAAACTAACTGAGTACTTAACTGGCTGACATCAGCTTCTTCAGTGTTCCTAAAGCACAGAGGGGCATTATGTCCATTCATTCCCTCGATGAAGATTAAAGAAATATTTTTTTTTCTGTGCCTTGTTATGCTAGGGCATAACTAGGTCCAAGAATAGGGCTCTGTGTCCTTGTAAATAAACTAAATATTTGTCTAGTAAATAAAACTAAACAAACTAGTAATCATTTGTACCAATAAGCATAAAAGGTATGGCTGAAATTAGCTTCTATTAAGCTGTCATTGCCATGAAAGTACTTATTAAGCACCTGACCTAATAATCTGAGAGTCCAAAGGAACTCTTTTTGCTGGGCTCTAAAAGGTCACAGGTATTAAGTAGATATGAGAGTAGATATGAGAAGAGGTAAAGACACATACAAAGCCCGTCTGTTGGACAATCAGATGTGAGAATGTGCGTCATAACTTTTGGTTTGCTAACATGAGAACTTGTATTCTCGTGGTGCTTTCTGGGGCCATTAAAACTTGCAGTTATTCTTCTGATCACTAGGTGGCATACAATTTCTAAAAAGTTAGTTGGATAGGTGTAATTGTAGAGGCGCCATAGATTTAGCAGGAAAATGTGGGAGATGAGAGCATGGGCGAGGGTGGCAAGAAGAACCAATGCTGTATTTACAGTCCCAGATAATGTCCAGAAACAGAAAGCCATTGACTCAACTATTTTCTCAGAACTTACTAAAAGCTGGTACTACACACTGGATCTTCAAGTTAAGGTAGTAACTACATCTGTTTTCCTTCAGTTCTTAGAATTTCTTCATTCCATAGACATGCAGTAAGCATGACTATGTGCATTTCACTGCTTCCATGGCACATATACGATAATGAAAAATATTGCCCTTCATGAGGAATACTGCAAATACACTAGTCTTTTCAGAGTCACATACAGGGGGAACTACCATCTCTCCAAAGACCCAGGTATTACACAGGAAAGGTGTACCTTGGGAATAAAAACAGTGGCTGGATGGCTTGCTGGTTAAGAAAATGTCATGTTCTTGCAGAGGCTTTGAGTTCAGTTCTCAGTACCCATGTTGGGTAGCTCACAACTGCCTGTAATTCTAGAAGCAACTGGTACTTCTGGCATCCTTTACATAACCCCCAACCCTCCCTATACACACACAGGCAGATGCACATATATACATGATTAAAAGAAAAATAAACATTTAGAAAAGAATATAAGGCAGACAAAGCTTCTCTCACTCAAAAACAAGAAATTAAAAATGAGACTTGGAACGGCGTATCACAAACCTTCAACTACTAAATTCTCAACACATATAATTGTAAAATACAATTTTGCTTCTAAGAAAATGTAAAGTACACATTTAGTGAACATTCATGAAGTTGGTGCTCACTGCCTGTGACTGCGGGAAAACATTGAAAATCTAGCAGCATGCAAGGAGAGCTGTTGGTGGCTCTCTCC